CGTCACCCGAGGACCAGGGAGACATCCCGGAAGGAAGCCCGCCAGCCCAGGAATGGCCGTCACCCGAGGACCAGGGAGACATCCCGGAAGGAAGCGCACCAGCCCATAGCCAGCAGTCATCAGCCGAGGACCAGCCGAATACTCTCTTGGAGAAAGAGGAACCTGCAGCCCCAGAAAGCCTCAGACAGGACCTTGTGGGAAGAAGCGGGTCTCACCCAGTGGACACATGGATGTCTGCTTCCCGTGAAGGATCTGAGGACAGGAGCAGGCATGCTGAAATGTGTAGCCTGCCTGAGGCACAGTTGGAGTGGACGAGCTCGAGCAGTGCCCGCAATTCGAACCATCGGGCTGATACCATCATGCCCGAGCCCCATGCCACAGGCCAGCTGGCAGGGGAGGGTCTCCTGATACCCTGCCCTGGATATGGGGGTGAGCAGAGCACGCAGTCAGGAAGCCCCCCCAGGACAGCGCGACTCCCGTTCTCGATGCCTGCGCTGGATGAGGCGTGGGTGGCCGTGGAGAATGACCGCGAGGAGCTACAAACTTGCTTAATTAAGGAGCAGCTGTCCAAATTGAGCCTCGTGGAACCACTGGGTGTCTCTTACACCAAGCTGGCCCCAGGAGAGCGCCCCCAGTTCTCTGCCCCTGTGTCCTTGTGCGACCCAGGAAGCAGGGGCCTGTGCAGCCGAGTAGGCAGCTCCTCGGCCTACTATGCTCTGGCCACAGACCTCCCTGGTGTGCTGGATGCAGTGCAGGCCCAGGAGGCTGATGGGAATTCATTTTCCTGGAACCTCAAGGAGCTCTTTTACAGTGAATGGACAGATCAAACTTCCTCCAACTGTTCCTGCACCGTGTCTGAGCTTGTGGGGACGCCGTCTCCTTCGCCGGCAGGCTCTGATGTAGACATGAGTGGTCTGCACCGGCGGAGATCAGATGTTCTGGATGACCGAGAACTGTTGCTCCTGACTGGCACTTACTTCGATCTTGGGGAGGCTCGGCAGTTTCGCGAGAGCCGTCTGGGGCCCAATCAAGTAGAGCCCTCCAAGACGTGTCTGGTGTCCTCAGAATACTATGAAGTGAGTGGCAGAGAGAGCCCAGCCTGTGTCCTTCCCACGCTGGGGGCTGGCCCTGCAGATGTGTGCCCGTCAGAGGAGCCCAGGCTGAGTTTCCAGGTCACCTCCACACCTGTGAGAGGGGACAGCCCGGCAACATCTGGGGGCACCTGCGTGCAGCAGGAGATCCAGGAGGGGACCTACACCGGCAGCTGCTACCACCGGGATGGAGCCCAGCTGAGTACGTGTGGGGGGGCTGTGCCCTGGAGCCCCTGTGGGAGCACGGCGTGGCGGGGGGCCGGGCTTTCCTCGTCCTGGGGTCTGATGCGGCTGTAACCGCTGAATAGTTTTGGTAGCAACGTTAGGGTTCTGTAGTGATAGCTTATCTCTTGAAAATTAGGGTTATAAGTGCTTGTGCCCAGGAAGGGTGCAGCCTGAGGTCCCGGCTGCCTCTGCGTCCCTCCTTGGAAGCCACTGTGTGTGTGCACCGCGGTTGCCTGGGGCGGCCCCTCCTGTGCTGGGCTTCAGGCCGCTGCGCTGTCGGCTGCGCTTGCTCAGGATCAGGCCCCTTCACTTGGCCCTTGGGGTTGATTATCTTTGTTGTACTTTGTATTTTCCTAACTTCTTTTTTTTTTTTAATATTTTTTTAGTCTATTTGACCCAGAGAGAGGGGGAGAGAGGGAGAGAGCAAACACAAGCAGGGGGAGCGGCAGGCAGGGGAGAAGCTGACTCCCTGCTGAGCAGGGAGCCCCGTGCGGGACTGGATCCCAGGACCCCGGGATCATGACCTGAGCCGAAGGCAGACGCTTCACCGACGGAGTCACTGGGCGTCCCTGTATTTTCCTAACTTAGCAGATCCGTGTCACATTAGCCAGTTGTGTCCTTACTGCTGATTTCAGAGTGTTGATTACTAAGGCTTTCCCCCTAAACTTTAAAAAGTTATGCAAGTACTATGTTATCTGTAGAAAGACTAGAAAATGCCAACAAAAAGAACACAGAATCACCTGTAAATGCCCCCAAAAGATAACCCCGTCTGTTTTGGCATATACCTTGGAGGCTATGTAAAAATGCACATGCACTCGCGTGAAACTGTGCCTCGTACATACGTCCGCGTGGGTGGCTGTGGTCGAGGCTGGAGGCAGACTCGGTGCGGGGTTGGGGGCGGGGTTGAATGCGGGTTTCCAGGCTTTTCCCCCGTCCGAGTGTGGGTGCCCCCGCCCCGCCCTGCGCGGGCGCTCTGGGGGAATGTGCCTCCTTCGTCGTGATGCCATCCTGCTGACCCCGCTTCCCCCACCCAGGTGTGCAGTTTGAGGTGAAGCGGGTGGAGCTGCAAGGCTCCGCGACCCTGTTCTGCTGCTGGCTCGTGAAGGACCTGCTGCACAGTGGCCGGGACTCGGCCACGCGCACCCGTCTGCTCCTGGCCAGCCTGCCCAGCTCCAGCCACTCCGTGTGCGAGCTTTCCGGACCCAGCATGGGGGAGGTGGGGCCTGCGCTCAGCTTCTGCCTTGTACCCGCCTCGCGGTGTGGGGAGGGGTCCTGCCTGGCATTTCTCTCTCTCTTTCTCTCTGCTTCCTCTGGGATGGGAGGAGCAGCCATCTGGGGCTTTTTCCACCCTGCCTGCTGGTATTGCGGGTAAGTCTGAAGCCATACGTGGGGTTTTAAACCTAAGTTTGCCCCACATGCAGCGTGGGGTCTCGGCGTGTGCGCCAGAGTGGGTGGACGAGGAGAGCACTTCTCAGGCCAGCCCCCCTGGGGCACGGGGACAGGGGCCGATGACACGAGTCTGCTTGCTGTTCCCTTTCTTTCTTTGGTCACGTGTGGCCCCTCAGGCCTCCCGTTTCATCCACAGATGCTCAGAAGCAAGCCCTGGTGCGAGGAGCCCCCCAAGGCTGTGGAGCTGGAGGTGCCGGCAGCCTGGGAGGGTGCGTACTCCCACAAGTACAGCACGCTCAGCCCCCTGGGCAGTGGGGCCTTTGGCTTCGTCTGGACTGCGGTGGACAAGGAGGCCAACAAGGAGGTGCTGTGTCTCTTGGGCCGCGTTCAGTAGTGGGGACCCCGCTCAGATGCAGCCCTGGCCTCAGTGCCTTTGGGTCTAAACTCTGCGATGGCCGTGATGGAGGAGTCCTCTGTGTAGTGCCAAGCACACGGGCCGGCCCGGGTCGGGGTCTGGCCCTGGAGGGCCCTCCTGGCAGCCCACACGTTCACGCCCGGTCGTCCTGCTCGCCACTTCGGACGCACGCTGAGCTTCACACCGTGTCCTTTCACCCAGAGGCTGATGTCGGGGGTTGATTTTCAGGTTGAGACCTCGCTGCCCTCCTCCCAAGTCCTGTTGGGATTGCATTTGTAATTGACCGTTTTGTGATTTGAGGGAATCAACGTGGTGACGGTCCTGCTTGTCCCAGCAAATACCGCAAATACCCTGACACTGCCCACGTGTTCCCGTGCCGCCTGCTGAGTTCTGGGGGGCCGTGCATGTGTGCGGTCCTCCGACCGCTGTGGGGTCTGATCACTTACTGCTGGCCTTTACCAGCTGCGTGTGGCGTTAACACATCACATACCTGTGCTGGTCTTCCAGGCTCTAACATGTTTTCAGTGGGTCCTTCGATGTTCTAGGTGCATGGCCATTCTCCTGCGGGGACGCCAGCTCTGTCTCTCCTTCTCTATGGTCTGTAGCCCGCCGGCCTCTGGGACCCGCAGGGCTGTGTTCAGGAGCAGGCATGCAGCCGGCTCTCCTGCCTGGTCACATCTGAAGATTTTATTTATTTATTTGAGAGAGAGAGAGTGCGCGCACCTGCCCGAGCAGGGGGAGCGGCAGAGGGAGAAGCAGGCTCCCTGCTGAGCAGGGAGCCCGATGCAGGACTCGATCCCAGGACCTCGGGATCGTGATCTGAGCTGAAGGCAGATGCTCAACTGACTGAGCCACCCAGGTGCCCCTCCCCGTTCTGTTCTTGATGGAGACCTTCTTCTAGGGATATTTCCTCTTATTTTCAGCTCACTGAAATTTATCTTGAAAACTGAGTGTTGAGTTCTTTCAGATGTCTTTTCAGCATCTGTTGAGATGATCATACCCTGGTTTCCTAACAGCAATCAACTCATATCCGTAGAACCAATCCTCGGTTATGTTTTAATATTCTTGTAATGCACTGCTGAATTCGGTTTGCTAATATTTTTACTTGGGATTTTTTTCATTTATATTCATGCATCAGTTTTCTTTCTTTCTTTTTTTTTTTATGTCAAAGTTACAAGAGGCCTGCAGAGGTGGCAGCGTTTTTGCCCATCAGCGCGTTTGACCATATGTCCGCAGCTGATCCTGTTCCCTTGGCTGCCCTAATTCTTGTGCCCACCCTCTCTAGTTGTTGCTAGACTTGTCAAAGAATTGTCTGCTTTATTTGTCAAATATTTGTTTTGACTTCTTGTACTTTCTGCGAGTTAATTTGGCTATATTTGCCGCGTGTTGGGCCATTACCGAGTAACAGGGCGCTTCCCGGGCGCGTCTCCTGAGCCCACCTTGGCCGCCTTCCGGAGGCCATGGCTTCTAACTCTGGTGCTGTCATGTGTTCATAGGGGGTTTAATTCTCAAGGTTCTGTTGCTGTCTCTAATCTCCGTGAGGCGGGTCTCATTCTTGGTTGAGTCAGGAACCCGATAGACTACGGGGTTTCTGTAGACCGCCAGACCTAAAGGAAGAAGAAGGAAGCCTGGGAACTCTTCTCTTGGTTTGAAAAGAAACACAGGAGTCTTTTTGTGTCTCAGAGCACAGAGATGCCAGCTTCAGTATTACCAGGCCCACAAATGATCCCGGAAAGCAGCCTGTCAGAATACGGCCCCGCGAGGGAGAGGCCACCGTTGGGGGACTGAGCGCGGTTCTGGAGTCTCGGTCTGCAGGGCACTTGGTGGCACCGCCATCTTCACGTGACCCACGACCTGGGTGTCTTTCCAAGCGTTTAGATCTTTATGTTTCTCTCAGCGTGTTCTGTGGTTTTTGGTGAGTTTCTGAAATCTGCATTATTTCCACATCCGGTTTCTTCCCTTTCTTGTGTCTAATTTTCAATTGCTGGAATATTGGTTACTGATGGATGTGTGGGCGTCACATGTCCTCACACGTATTCTGACTGGTTTGTTTCTCCCCCATGTTAGTGGCAATCCACGCGGTTCTCTCCGAGCGCGTGAGCCCCAGCTCTGTGCCCTCCAGCATGCTTTTGAAAAGCAATCTGATGTTTTTTCTTTCTGAATTTCTTTTAGTCTTTGGACTTCAGAAATTTCCCCAGGATATATTTCTGTGTGTGTGTTCTTTATTCTTGCTTGACGCTTGGTAAGACTTTGATCTGAATGTTTAAAGCTTTCTTTACCTTCTGTTCTGTTAATCCTTCTCCTCCTTTCTCGCTCTGTACTTTCCCCCGAAGCCGCCTGTAGGTGTGTGTTGGAGCTCGTGGCAGGTTTCTCGCCTCCTTGAACCCGGCAGAGGGACCGGCGGTGCGCACTTCCGCCTCCAGCCGCAGCCTCTGCGTCTCCCCACCTCGGGCCATCAGCCTTGCTGCCCTCCTCCTCTTGCCTTCTGTCACGTGTCTCCTCTGGCCTGTGGACTCACGGGGCCCTCTCTTTGCACGATCTTCAGGAGTTGACCACTGGTCAGCATTGATGGCTGGCGCTAAGCCATCACTCTTTTCTCGTGGTCACTGTGAGCCTGACTGGGCGCTGCAGGCGCTCCTCCCTGCCCCTCCTGCCTCGGCGCTGGCCGACTGCCTGTACCCCCGTGCTGCCCACCTGTGTGCGCTCCCCTCCCGCTGCCCTGCTGCCCCTCGGGCGGACCCCTCTTCCCTGCTCACCTGATCCACAGTGCACGCCGTGTGTTGGCCGCCCTCCCCCCGCCCGCAGACAATGAGCTCATCAGCAGGGCTTGTGGGTCATCTTGTGGGGTCTCCAGCTGAAGCGTGGGGAGGGCCTGGCCTGCAGTCCCTGCTCACCATGTGCCCCTCGGCCACGTGCCCGGCCCTCCCTGACAGCATGTGCTCTGCTGAGTGGCTCACGATTGCTTGTGTCCCCGACGCACGGCGTCTCTGCCCTATGACACCCCCCGTCGTCCTGGGCAGTGATGTGTTTCTCTGTGTTTGCCAGTGTCCGTTGGTCTTGCCGGGCTCCCCTTAGCTCCCAGCTGATGTGGGTGACGGCCTTGATCTGTGTTTTCCAGTTCTCAGGCTGCCTCTTTCATTTCCTCTGTCAGGGCACCAGTCCTCGGTTGTGACATGGGGGTGCTCCAAGGGCTCGGGCCCGGTTCGCAGCCCCTCCACCATGCCTTTGGTCTCCTCGGCCTTGTGGGCAGCTGCTGCGGCTCCTCTCTGCCCCTCGTGCTGTGTGGGGGGCAGGGGCGCTCCTGGGCTGCTTCTTTCCCATCCCTGGGAGTCAGGGGAGGCACACGTGGGGGTTGCGTCTGCACTGAGTGAGCAGCGGGCGCCATGTTCGAACGGATGCTGGAGGCACGCTGGCGGTTACTTCTCCCCTCTGTCTTCTTCTTAGGTGGTGGTGAAGTTTATTAAGAAGGAGAAGGTTTTGGAAGATTGTTGGATCGAGGATCCCAAACTTGGAAAAGTTACTTTAGAGATTGCAATTCTGTCCAGGGTGGACCACGCCAATATCATCAAGGTGGAGTGCCGTCTCTCATTTAGTGGTGCCCTGACGTCACTCACGTGAGAAGTTGTTAAATATGTTGTGCTGAGGGCATCTCAGCAGGCCCAGACCTGACTTTGTCTTTTTCCAGGTGTTGGACGTGTTTGAAAACCAAGGGTTCTTTCAGCTTGTGATGGAGAAGCACGGCTCTGGCCTGGACCTCTTTGCATTCATTGACCGCCATCCCAGCCTTGACGAGCCCCTGGCAAGTTACATCTTCCGACAAGTGAGCAGGACAGAGCCATGCTGGGGAGATCCTGGGCTTGGGCATGGGGTCCCGAGGCTGCAGGGATGCATGGTTCACACACACTTCTCTCCGTGAGCAAGGGTCTAGCCTTCAGAGTTTGGATTTTATGGAGTAAGGTATATATTAAGATATACGTGGGAGGCCAGATGCTATCCTGGATTGATGAGGGAAGTACGTTTAATGATTCAAGTTTTTTTATGTTCATACAGTATCCACACCAGTTGCAAAACTTAGCCAACAAAGCTCTCAGGTTAGGCTTTGAGGCCTGTGCATCTGATCTGAGCCGTCTTTCTGCAGGGAACCATTGCTCATCTGTGGGCAGGGATCATTATAGGGCTGACGAGGGAAGGCTGTTAAGTCAGAGAGAGCCTCTGAGGCGCTCACTATGTGTGGTGCGGTCCTGCACACAGGAAGGGCTCAGTAGATGGTAGCTGTCCAGTTAATTGAGTAAAGTAAAGGTTGAGATTCTAGCAATCTCGTTTTACACTATGTATTTTGGTCTCTTTACTGTCTGTTTATGTGTTGATCTTGTCCATTTATTATTTTGCTGGAATGGGAGAGTGATGAGCAAAATAGGCGTCCTGGGAGACTCTAGAGAGGTTGGGTAGGGGGTGGAGGGGACCAAGTCGTTCCTGTTTTGAGTTTTTAGGAGAAGGTGATGGTTTCATCCTAGACTATTCCTAGCTCCCTGGAAACAATGGAGAAATACCTGGGAAGAGGATAGAACTGTTCCCAGATTTGCTCACTGATTGTTTCCTGATGAGGACTCCATGTCTAATGCCAGTTTTCATAAGTTGACATTTCTTACTCAGAGCTATAAATTCCCAGAAGCTACTGGATTTCTGATATTAGGTTTCTCAGGCACCTCCCTGTAAGTTTTGGGCATCATGGTTCTGCTCAAAGACTGTCCCCTCCCTCTTTCTGTGTTGCAAGATTATAGACCCATCTACTGTAATGCATGGCAAAAATTTGTTTCTGAAATCTTCATGGCAAGCAGACTGTATATAACAAGAGCCACTTGTTAAAAGCTGCTGTTTCTCAGTTGTTAATTCTGGGGCCATTGATTTGGTAATTATAGTGTCCCATACTTCATAATTTTGCAAGAAGTATCTGTAGCCCCTCTGTAAATTTATATACGTAAGTGCTATCATATGTAAATAGGGACTCGCAATTTTATAGAAAAACATCATCCTACGCCAGTGTCTATAATACAGGGCCGTTTGCCAGCAAACTGCTGCCTGCTCAGCTCCGAGTGCCTCAGGCCGCTAACAGACCAGCCCTCCCGTGCAGCCAGGGCGCTGGCCTGCGGGAGGAGTGGCTTCTCTGCCCGGGCTCAGGTTCTCTTCAGACCTTTGTGGTGAATCCCTTGCTGCGAATTAATAAACCTCCATGAAACTTTCCACATTCCAATGAACACACGGCTTCTGTTCCCAGCTGGGAACATGTGTGCGTGTGTGTGTGTGTATGTACACATGGATGTATCTGTGTGTACACACGTGTGAGTGTGTGGGTGTGCACACGTGTGTATCTCTGCGCATGCATGCTGTATGTAAATGTGTATAGATCAGAATGCAGATATGCGTACGTTTGCATGTATGCGCATATAAATACGTAGTTACAAGTTGTAAGTTAATTGGGCACAGTTAACCCACCATTAACTATAGCCTCTGATTCAAGGGTATTCATCTGTAAATATAAAATTGTCTCTAATCAAAATGACTATGTCCAAGAAGACGCTAAGTTGGTTGGTATAATTGGTGTCCAAATTGTGAGTGCAGTCAGAAACTTTACTTACCTTATTTAAACTTAACTGAAAGCTTCCTTTGGTTCACGTCTGTCATCGGATGTGTGGTGTAGGCTCCTCCCGACAGCAGGTCACAATAGTCACTGTTCCCTTCCAGAGTGGAGACTGGTGCACTTGATTTGCTGGAACAAAGCCCATCTCCAGGGGAATTACTTTACGTGCACATGGATGAGAATCCTGCACACGTTGGGGCCGGCGTGGCCGACGCCCGGGGCTGCCCTCTGAGAAGCTGCTAGAGCCCCGAGGTGGGGGTTTGGAGATTTGGCTCTGCTCTCAGTCCTGCCCCTAACCGCGGCGTGAACTCCGGGCAAGGCACTTTCCTTCCATGTGAACCGAAGACACTCAGTCTTTCTCTAGGGCCGCCTGCCATTTCATGCCCAAACCACGTGTCTCTGTAGCTTCTGCTTGTGGTTGGTCTGCCCTTCCTTCCGAGATTGTCACGTTGTGTGTTATGGGGTGAGTGACCCTTGTCTGTAGCACACGAAGAGAACCTGAGAATCACGTATTTGTGCTGGGGGACAAGGGGGGCGTTAGAGGGCACGGAGCATCAGTTATAGCAGACGAAGTCCTGTTTCACAGCTAACAATAGTGTGTTGTATACTTAACAATGTGCTGAGTGTCTGTATCGCTGATAATGAGAATTAGGACTTTTTTTTAAAGATTTTATTTGTTTATTTGAGAGAATAAGAGAGAGAGAGACAGAGAGCATGAGCAGGGGGAGTGGCAGAGGGAGAGGGAGAAGCAGGCTCCCCGCTGACAGGGAGCCCGACGCGGGGCTCGACCCCGGGACCCTGGGACCCTGGGACCGTGACCTGAGCTGAAGGCAGACGCCTCACCGACTGAGCCACCCAGGTGCCCGAGAATAATGACATTTTAAAGAGGGATCCCGTACTGGCTGGTGCTGCTGCCGGTGGGTGAAGCAGGCCAGCCACGCCGAGCACCCGCCCGGACCTGCGCCTCCCCCGCTGAGCTGGATTGGGTCTGCACGTCCAGGGTTCTTTCCTGCCACTAGTTCATTAGCAATTAGACAAGAGGTGTTTTTCTTTGTTGTGGTGTCTTGTTTTCGACTTAGTCCTTAGTTTAGGTGCGTGTCTTACTGGAATTGCTTCTTCAAAAGCCCCTGTGCCCCTGATTGCAGCTGGTAGTGGCGGTGGGGTACTTGCGCTCGAAGAGCATCATTCACCGGGACATCAAGGACGAGAACATCGTGATCGCGGAGGACTTCACCATCAAGCTGATCGACTTCGGCTCCGCCGCCTACTTGGAGAAGGGCAGGCTGTTTCATACGTTCTGTGGGACGATCGAGTACTGCGCACCCGAAGTCCTCATGGGAAACCCGTATGTATGGTGTTGCAGTGGGGCCTGGCCGCACGTCTGTGGTCGCGACCCGGGGCCACTCGGAGTTGAGGCGGGAGAACGGTTTCCATTTGCGCCTCTTCGTGGCAAGGCTGCTGAGTAATGACAGTGACGTCGGTCTTGGTCCTAAGCGGGCAGGCAGGCAGACGTCGGTGGGTTAAGGGAAGGGGGGCCGTGGCCACCGTGCTTTGTTGTGTTACGTTCTCAACTTCTCTGTGTGTTTGGAGTTTTACGTAATTAGAGGTTGAGAATAAGATGAAAGATGAGACTCTTCAAGTGGATGGAGAGGGTTTCTCTTCAGTTGGGTTTAGTCATTGTGATGACAGACATAATGGCCTATTGAGGAACGTGACGTCCAGCATCGAAGGCGCTAATGCCGAGGACCTGTGTTGGTCCGGGGCCTGGCTGGTCCTCCGGCTCCTGCCCGGGGGACGGTCTGTCCCTGCCCTGGAGCCTGTGGGCTGCCGGGGGGCCTGGGCAGTGCTCAGGAAACCCTTCTCCTGTCACTTCTGTGCACACCCAGAGCCACCAGACAGGATGAAATATTGAAGGGGGTTAGTCCAGGAAGGACCTTGGAGTTTCTTTGAAGATGTAATTTGATCACCCTGGTGCCCCCAGTGCTATGTTGGCTGCTGTCTCGTCCCATGGTGGCCACTGGAGTTGGAGGGGGCTGCGTGACCTGTCCACGGGACCCTGACACGTGCTCTGTGGCTTGTCTGCCCCCCGCCCCACCTCCTGCGGCCAGGCTGGGAAGCTCCCACGGGGGAGTGCAGGGCGGTGGTGCACCTCAGTGCTTCTCAGGGACCTCCGGCCCTCCCCAGGGCATTCCACCTTCTCCTGGAGCCCCTGCCCTGCAGCGCTCCTGCTCCCTCCTCTTTGGCCTGCAGGTGCCCTCCTCCTCTGAGCTCCTTGGTCCGCCCCCCCCCCCCATGTCACTGCACCTGTGGTTTTCCGGGCTCTGATTCTAGACCCCTCCTCAGGAACTCTGCTTCCTCCCTCATCGTTTCTCCCCTCTTCTGCTCCAGGGGACAGCAGACCGTGGCCCTTGACCAAACCTGGCCCACCACTGGGTTTTATGAAGTTCCTCAGAGCGCAGCCGTGTCTGTCAGCCTCTGTGGCCTCTGGCTGCTTTGGTGTCGTCGTGGCGACGGGGTCATGTGGCCCACAGGCCCGAAATGTTTCTCTTTGGCACTTTACAGAAACGGTGCTGTCACTGTTGTACTTCAGTGGATTTTTCGCTTTGCTCTCCAGTGTTCTTGAAACCGCTCTTTCTGAAACAACACGAAAATACCGAGTGTTGAATGGGGTTTTCTCGCCCCGGCTTGTGCAGTCTCTCATCCCGCACTTTCCTGACGTCTGTCCTCCTGACCCTCCCGGCGTCCAGCGCCCCATCCTGGTCTTCGGCCTCCTGCTGTCCTGGACCCTCTCCACGCTCACCAGTGTCTCCCAGCCACCTTGTCTGACTCCGTGGTCCCCGCTGTCTGGGCCGGTAGCTGAGTGGGCAGCTCGGCCGCAGCTCCACACCTTCTGTGTACAGTGTGGATGCTGTTTCTCAGGCCGGCTGTGGGGTTTAGGGCTGGAGCACATAAAATGCCTGACAGAGCGCTGGTATCTCAGGGTGCCGGTGAACGGAAGCTGGGTGAGGTCCATCCTTACAACGACAAAGCATGGCAGTGGGGCACCGTCGTCCCCTGGCCGCCAGCCTGTTGCCCGGTTGGCCCAGCCTGGACCCCTCTGCCTCCCCCTTCACACTCTGTCTAGGTCGCTGCTGTCGCCTTGGCCCTCCTTCTGCTCCTGTGTGGACTGGAGCCTCCACTCTGTCCGCTGTGCCTTCTCCCCACCTCCTCCAGGAAGCCCCCCACCAGGAGGTGCTCTGCCCTCTTGTGCCGCACACCCTCTTATCTCGTGGTGGGCATCTCTCAGCTGCCTGGACATGAAGTTTTGCTTTTCTTTTCCCTCCCCAGCGTGTGGCTGGAGCATGGCTGGCTGGGGCAGAGGTGCTGGGATGGAAGGCATAGTCGAGGAGGGCCGCAGGACGTGCTGGGGGCCACTGTCGGGGGCTGCGTGTGGAGTGGGCTGAGCCCCGGCATGCCCCGAATGCTGCCGCCACCTCCCCCTTGCAGGTACAGGGGGCCAGAGCTGGAGATGTGGTCGCTGGGGGTCACACTGTACACGCTGATCTTTGAGGAGAACCCCTTCTGCGAGCTGGAGGAGACCATGGAGGCCGTGATCCACCCCCCGTACCTGGTGTCAGAAGGTGAGGGCGCCGGGTCCCCCACCTCGAGCACAGCTTGCTGACGGCCTCATTGCTTTCTTCCCATTCGTCAAACACTGATCTGAACAGAAGTGTAACTTGAATGTGACTAAACCCTCGTGTAAATTTTTTTTTAAAGATTTTATTTATTTATTTGAGAGAGAGAAAGCCCGTGAGCACAAGTGGGGGGAAGAGCAGAGGGAGAGGGAGAAGCAGGCTTCCCGCGGAGCAGGGAGCCTGACGTGAGGCTCGATCCCAGGACCCTGGGATCATGACCTGAGCCGAAAGCAGATGCTTAACCAACTGAGCCACCCAGGCGCCCCCGGTCTCTCTTCTTCTTACACCGGCACTAATCCCATCATGGAGCCCTACCTTGATGACCTCAGGTGACCCTGATCACCTCCCAGGGGCCACTGGGGGTTAGGGCTTCACCATAGGGGCGGGGGAAGGCGTGGAGATAGTTTGGTCCGTAGCAGCCTAGAAGAGGATTTTTAGAGCTTTGCTAAGGTTCTGGGTTCCCATGAGCCATGCTTCTTGCAGCATGCTGTTCCTCCCACAAACCGTTCCATGCGCTCTCTCACTGCATTCTCAAGACGCTCCTCTGGGATGGTGAGGCTCAGAGCATCGTGGTTGAGGAGACACCCATATTGTTACAGGAAATGGGACCCAAATCTAGACCCAAGGCTGGGGCTCTTCTCAGAGCCCGTGCTTCCTTCTCGGGGGGATGATGCAGGGCTCGCCTGCGGCCGCCTCCCCCCACTTTCATCACACGAGCCCTGTGTCATTCGAGGCTCTGCATGGCCAGAGCCCCGAGAACAGGCTGAGCTCCAGAAACTCTGCATGTAGGTTAGGTGAGCGAGGTGGGGTCCTGAACCCCACGCTTTCATTTCAGAGGGGACGAGCATGTCCCACAGCTTGTCTCCGGGAGTAGCTGGGCCCGTGTGCCCAAACCCCCAGCTTCTTGTCAGTGGAGGTTTCCTGGGCCAGTCAGAGGTGCTCATGGTGGGCAGACCTGGGACCCGCAGTTTGAGACCTGTTCCACTTGGGCCCAGCCCCGACCCACCATCGGTCTTCTGGCCACGTGCCTAGGGTGGGTCTTTATGTCTCCAGATCTCATGAACCTCATGTCTGGGCTGCTGCAGCCTGTCCCCGAGCAGCGCACCACCCTGGAGAAGCTGGTGACAGACCCCTGGGTGACACAGCCCGTGAATCTTGCTAACTACACCTGGGATGAGGTGTGTCGCATGAACAAGCCAGGTGAGAGGCATGACCTGTGTGCCAAGAAGGCAAGGAGGTTCTCCAGGCTGCCTTCCTGGTCTGGGGAAGAGGGGGCTCCCTCCTCCATGCTGTCCGACACCAACGTCAGGGCCTGTAGCTGGCTTATCACCTGGGCAACAAAAGGGCCTGATTCTGTTCCAGAGGCCCCTGAACACCACTGGGGCCTTGGAAGGTGACTGAGCACCCAGGGGAGCCCCTGACAAGGAGGCACCCACAGGAGGGGCTAGGGGCAGGGGGCAGAGGGTTTGAGAGCAGCCGGCGGTGGCCTGAGCCAGCTGAAGGGGAGGGTGAGGCTGCAGATGGCGAGTGGGGTGCTCTGAGGGGACCCGGGGGCCCTGGCTCTTCCGATGAGGCTCCTGGCTGCAGAGCTGGGCGGCAGCAGCCCAGGGCGTCTGGTCACTGCCGCTCAGAGTGGGCGGACCGAGCTGGTGTTGGCGGCCCCGGGCATAGACTCGCCGCAGCACCTCAGCAGCGGCCGGGGACTCTGCAGCAGTGCCAGGCGGGTGCTCAAGGGTCCCGCTGATGTCTTTTGTTCTAGGAATTCTACCAGAGAGAAGCAAGTGTCTTAGGATCTTGTGTTAACACCTGATACCATGTCTTCTTCTTTCTCAGAAAGCGGAGCTCTGTCCGGTGTGAGCCTGGAGGCTGAGAGCAGGTGCGCCAGGGAAGTGGCGTGAGCTCTGGAGCCCTGCGGGGCCTCGTGCCCCAGCGGAGGCCCCTGATGAGCCAACTCCAGCTCCCTGCTGCTCTCTCGGGAGCAGGTTGTTTTCAGGCCCCATCCAGTCAGAGAAACTAAATTCTCAATCATTAGGCCCAATTCACCTTCTAAAAATTCCTATGCAAGTTTGAGAAATGCTAGAACAAAAACCAGGGTGCTACAAGATTCTAGGGTTATAAATAGACTTGGAATTCGTTGTTCACATGACCTTGAATAAGCATGCTAGCGTTTGGTTGAATTTTGTGCTATGAAAGGGCTTTAATCTTTCTGATGTTGTATATATGCATGTATTTGTTTCCTCTGACTTGACATGTGCTCACCTGATGTGTGGAGTTGGTAGAACTGGTTAGCCAGAGACCAGACTATTTCATTAACTTATTTTTTGAACATTTCCAAATTAAAGCAATTTTGTAGTGAGCCATGATCCGGACTTGGACTGACTGAATTCTTCCACGATGCTGGCGTGGGGAGTGTTTCATTGCTTTACTTTTGTTTGTGTACCCCGACATGCCCCTGCTGGAGAGGGGCTCAGCCTCCATCCGTGGGGGGGGGTCCCTCCCCTGGGTGGGCCCAGACCTGCAGCTTGTTCAGTTTAAGGGGGCCGGGGAGGGGCCAGCTGTTGTCAGGCACGTCCCTTCTCCCCTGCACGCCGCTCTAGCCCACCGTCCGTCTAGGCCCTGCTGTCACCCAGACGCCCTCCCAGCACTCCCCAGACATCCAGCCCCAGCCCCACATCTGCAGTGGGTGTCCAGCCTGCCTACTTCCCATCTGGTTCAGGTTCCCCGGGGGTCTCTCGCACACTTAGATGGCTCCACCCCTCCAGGCTCCAACCCACCCCCTCTGAAACAGAATCAAGGAGCTCAGTGAGCATGCGCAAAGCAGCCTTTATCTGTGTTGGAGGGGTGGCCGTGGTTAGGAGTAAGAGGGAAACCTTTTATTCTTTTCCTTGTTAAGATGGCAAGAAGAAAAAAAAACCCGAGACACCCCCCACCTTTCCACCACATCATCACTTTCTGCAGGTTGTAGGCTCCTCCTGCTGAGTCCTCAGGAAGATGCTCAGGGGTCGCCCAGCTTTGGTAAAGTTCTGTGCTCGTTTTCCACTGTTCATTTAGGGAGCACTCAGCTGCCTTTTAATATCTCACGACGCCAGGATAGCAGTTGAGTTAATTCTTAACCTTGAGGATAGGGGATATTGCCATCCCCTTCCTTTAGAAAGTGCTGCCTGAGTCCCTGCCCTCAGCAGAGACTGACTGACATGGGGAGGGGGAGGGATGGCAGAGGCACGGTTTTTAGGAGTACACTTTTTAAAGTGTGTAATAAGAAGTGACCTTTACGCTTCAGAATTCCAATGAATTTCTTGATATTTTAAGAATTCTTTTCCAGAGTGAAAAAAACCCAAATGTTTTTCCTTGTATATATGATGCTTGTAACACATAAGAAGTTACAGGATGTTTTTTCAGACAGGTGTGCAATGGGCTAAGAATGCAAAGTGCTAGCTCTGCAGGGGCTGACTTCTAAGAAAAAATAATCAAAACCTATCCTGCCGGATGGCAGTAGGAGGTCTGATGCTTTGAGAGTGCTCTTTGCGGAAAGACTGCAGGTAGGAGTCTCCACGTTCCCAGTGTGATTCCAGAGCGCTGAAGATGCTGCTGGCTTTTAGAGTTAACCCCTGCATCGCAGCCGTGACTTCACCCCTAGAGCTAGATTACGCTCATTGACCGGTTCCTTCCAGGGAGTCGGGGTGGCGCACAAGGATCTTCTCAGGCTTCGAGTGTAAAAGCATTATTTTGAGTCGAGTGAAAAACGGCGAACACAACCGACCTTTTCTTGGACACGGCGCGTTCGCGGCCCGAGCTGCCTTGGCGCCCAGCCCCGGGGCGGGGGGCGGGCGGCGGGGCAGGTACACTCTGCAGGTTTCAGACTCGAGTCCGGGTGCGGGGCCGAGGCCGGCGCACTACCGGCGCCTCCGCCAGGGGGCGGCAGCCCGCGAGTCGGGAGGGCCCCCGCGCCCGTCTCGGGGCCGGCCAGGCCGCCGGCAGCGGTGGGAGCGGATGCATGGGAAGGGGCTGTGCACCTGCTGCGCTGGCCGAGAGCCGCTGGAGAGCGGGAAGGCCGGGCGGCACCTGCCCGAGGCGCAGGCCCGCGGTCCCGGGGCTCCGGCCGCGTCCCCCGCAGCCGGGACGAGCCGCGGCGGAACGCGCCTCCCGCGCTCTCGCGGTTGCCAGGGGGAGGGCGGAAGTGCGGACGGCGAGGGTCCACTTCCGGCGCCAGGATCGCCGTCGCCGCCGCCTCGCAATGGCGGCGCTCGGCCGGCAGGTGAGGCGGCGCTCGGTGCCGGGTGTTTTCTCCTCGCGAGCGGAGCCTTCCCGGCGGCCGGCCGGAGGGAGCGGCGGGGGCGCCGCCAGGGCGGGAGCGGGCGGGCGAAGTAGGCTGAGCAGTGTGCGGACTCGCGCGAGGCCCCGGGCTCCCGGGTGGGAACCAGCGGGCGCCCCCGCGGTTGGCCCGGAGCTTACTGTCCGCTGGCGACGGAGAAGGAGGGCTTCTCGGAGATCCCCGATCTCGGGAAAAAAGCAGGCTTCCGGGAGCGCGGCCGCCGGCTGTTCTCTCCGCGTGGTTGTCCGGCCGCGGAGGGACGGCGCTCGCGTCGGTGTGAAGCACGTTACGGCGTGAACGCGCTCCTCCGGCGAGGGCCTCCGGCTCCCGCGGGCTGGGCCGGACTTTACCGTTTAGGGAGCCGTCACGTGCACACGAGTACACGTTGGTGCCTGTCTCCAGCGCATCCGTTTTCAGTTCAGTTTGCAGCCCCCCGGCACTGCCCCTTAGAGGGTAGGGGGAAAAGACCCCACGTTACGGGCCGGCCTTGGAATGGTTCTCTCCCCCCCCCCCCCCCCCCGCCCTGTCCCCTGCCCTGTCCCCTGCGTTAGGGCAGCGAGAGCCGGCAGAGGCTTGCTTGGCTCTTGCGATGCTCTGCTCTCTGTATGCAAACTGCCTTCTCTGCAGGCTTTTCCCGCTCCGATCGGCGTTTGCAGGTTGTTACAAAAGCCTGCTATGCTTATGTGGGACCAAGACACGAGATAACCTGGTTCCGGGCTCCAGAATTCCGTGGTGTCCTCTACACTGGAGTGGTGAGGAGCTGATCCCCTTTTGGTGCTGTGTCTCATAGGTCTTCGACTGGCACCGCCTGGTCCCCCTCACCTGGGCCCGCATTGCTAGGCAGACCCCTCGCGGAGGACAGAAAAGGACGTCTGCATCTTTGTTGTGTAAACTGACCACAGCCTCCAATGGAGGGGGCCTCGAGAAGTTATCCCGTGTGGAATCCAGAAAGTACATGCAGGAACCAGAGTGCAGGACGAGTCTCACTCGGTGCCCCCAGGGGAAGCAGAGGACTCCTGTGGCTCCAGGGTTCCTGGAGCAAGAGAAGGTCATCAGTTCTCTTCTGGACATGGGTTTCAGTGATGTCCACATTAACGAATTGCTCCGTCTGTGGCCAAGTACGCACCCTCAACAGTTGTTGGACATCATTTCAGAATTAATACTCTTGGGTTTGAACCCAGAGCCTGTGTACGTGGCCTTGAAGAAAAGTCCTCAGTTGTTGAAACTGCCTGTAATGCACGTGAGGAAGCGCTCCAGTTACCTGCGAAAGCTCGGTCTTGGAGAAGGTACAAGAAGGCCCTGATTTTGTGTCCAGCGCTGAGGAGTCGGGGTTGGGGGGCGAGTAGCCCAGGTGGGGTGGGCTAGGGGAGGCTTGTGGGGAAAGTTCTTGACAGTAACTGTGGTTTGGCTTGGAGGTGAGAAGCAGTGACGTCTGCTGATGGCGCTGCAGGAGGGAAGGGGAGATTTGTCTGGTTTGCTCACTCTGGGGGCTCTAGCGTCTGGAACACTGGGTGGTGAGCACGTGGTATGTGCTCGTGCTCAGCAGATAGAGGTCAGTGTATGGTAGTAACATTCGAGTACCTACGCGGTCTCTGTCGTTTACCTTAGCTTGGTGTTGTCCGTACGACATAAAGCCAAAGGCTTACTACAGAGTCCCTTGTAAAGACGTGGGTTCCAGTGGAACCCGAGATGGTCCCAGACTCCTAGAAAACGGGGAAGACTGTTCCCCCCAACAGGATCCACATCTCAAGGATTCTAGGATTTCGTTGGATCCCTGGGTGGGCCTTCAGGTGAGAGTCCCAGGGATCCTTATGCACGTTGACCACAGGAGGGCCACTATTTTTTTTTTTTTTTTCCTTTTTGACTCTTACTGGTAAGATATTGTTAAGGGGGAGATATTGTTGTTTGGGGATCAATTTCAGAGGCTCTCTGTGGGCCTTCTTCTCCAGAAGATAAGGAAGAAGTTAGCCTTCTGTGTTTCTCTTGACAGATGACCTGTTGCAGTATAATCTAAAAGGCTAAACTTAATACTTTATATGCTATGATCATATGTTACGAGGCTGAGCAAAGCCTTCTGCTGCAGAGGGAAAGTCTAAACTCCTGGAAGTCATTCTAGACACATTTTAGTAAGACAGTGAGTAGCTCAACTGTTAGGAAGATTGTTAATACCAGTTGTGTGTGTGTGTGTGTATGTTAATACCAGTTTAAATAAATGATTTTAAGTTTCCAGGTACTGAATTTTGCCCAGCTATCCATGGGAAGACCATAGGCCCCAATTTCCCTTCAGTAGTTTCAGTTACCCTAATGCATTTGTTAATAGGGCCTCTTTAGCTCAGTATTGCCCTAATGTGGGTAAAAGATACGGTCACCCCACTAACTAGGACATCATTGTCTGTGGCTGTGCATCATGAGTATTCTCGTCATTATTCTATTAATAATTATTATCATGGAACTCCTTTTCATGGAGTTCAGGCTCCCAGATCTTAGGAAGGTTGGTTGTGGATGCTTCAATGACTATTTTATTGTGGGAGGAAATGTCAGCCCACAGCCCCAATATGGGGGAAGCTAGGGTCTCGTCCTACTGTCTGATCTTTCCAGTAGATCCCCTGAGAGATTCTTTAGATGAAGAGGGCAAGAGGAGGAAGCCTAGAATATGAGGTTTATGCTGTTCAGCTGGCAGGCCAGCAAGAGGCCTCCTTTTTATACCAGGGAGGGGGTCAGAGAGGAGATAGTCATTCTGGCCCCTCCCACTGCCACGTGCCCCTGGGCAGGCATCGGAAGCTGCCCCTCACGTGGAGGAGCGCATCCTCGTTCATTTATTCAATGCTGGCGTGGGTGTGCCAAGCCCCTTGGCTTTCTGGAATGTCCTGAAATTGTGTACTTGCCTTTTCTTATGTTCTGCAGGGAAACTAAAGACGGTGCTTCTCTGTTGCCCTCAAATCCTCACCATGCATCAGAGGGACATTGACAGCATTGTTGGTGTTCTCAAGGAGAAATGTCTTTTCACGGTACAACAGGTGACCAGGATTTTGCACAGATGCCCCTATGTTCTTCAGGAGGACCCCGGTGAACTGGAATACAAATTCCAGGTGAGGATGACTGGTAGGGGATTTGGGAAGTAACAACACGTTCTTTGTAGTGAAGGTCAGCTCCGTGGCTGAGAAGCCACAGGCACCCTGAGGGCGAGTGGACGAGGTGAAAGGCTTAGATCCTCTTTGCACACACCAGCCAGAGAGAATCTGGCTCTGGTCTTTCACTTCTTTACAGAAAGCCTATCCTGCAAGTTTTCTGCTGTTAATAATGAATGACCCAGTCCCATTCCTGGGGTCCAAATGGGGCCTCTGCTTGAAATAGCTAATTTAAAAAGAGCTAAATCCTTTCTTTAGAACGTGTTCTGCATATTGATTTTGGAAACATAGTTGTGACAATTGTCCTAACTTTTGGGTAACAATTATGACAACTTAGGTCAAATTGCTAGATGTTTGCTGAATTTGTTGCCTATTCTTTTCCACACTCACATCCCTCTTGCCCCTTTATTTTCTGCTAAATTTTTCTCAACATGAACTTGAAAATGCTTTGAAAACTGTCAGGCCTCACACAAATGCTGGGCGTCACAGTGTCCTGGCACTGTGAGTTGGGTGGCTCTTTTTGCGTGCTTCTGGGCAGCTTGCGTTGATTACAGACTATGGCAGGACAGGTTGTAGGTTACTATGCCCGGGACCCCTAACCGTGTCTGTGTCTCCAGTATGCCTATTTTAGGATGGGGGTTAAACACGCGGATGTGGTGCGGACTGACTTCCTGCAGTACTCCATGACCAAGATCAAGCAGAGACATGTGTTCCTCGAGCGCCTAGGACGGTACCAAACCCCCGATAAGAAGGGTCAGACACAGGTCCCCAATCCTTTACTTAAGGACATTCTCAGAGTCTCAGAAGCTGAGTTTCTGGCCAGGACAGCCTGTTCTTCCGCTGAGGAGTTTGAAGTTTTCAAGAAGCTCTTTGCTCGGGAGGAGGAAGAGGGGTCTGAGAGCCACATGCCTGACAACAAAAGCTTAAGTCTGGACAAGGATGAGGAGGAGGACGAGGAGGACGAGGAGGAGGATGAGAATGAGGAGGAGGAGGAGTGACGGAAGGACCAGAATGAAGAGCCCAAAGATACCAAAGAATATTACAATTTTCTCAAAGCTTTTGAGAGCTTCACTTGGATTTTCTCAGGTTATTTTTCCTTCTAAAACTGGTCTTCTGATGAAACATTATTATAAATCACCTGAGAGGTGGGTCAGACTAAATAGGAGCTGCGTTAGTTTGATCTGTTGTCAGGTCCCTGTGGGGAGGGCCCTCTTCCCTCCTGCATGGAAAACAGACTCTGAGCTGTTAAAATCAGGGAACTTAATACCTCAACATTTGGTTTTGGTCTTTCTCTGTTGATGTGTGATAACTCCATGACAGTGTGGGGAATGGGGTTCCTTCCTCTGGTTCGAGAGTCATTTTACATTTCCTTGTAGTGATAAAGATAAAATTATGAGCAGGCACTGAGGTTTTAGTACATCACAGCACTTTATTTTATGAAAACAAGTAGCAGGTTTTCCACAAAAACACTCGTGTTTTTAGTCCACAAATACTGCTTCATAATTGCTTTCAGTGTACAGCATTGTCAAGGAAGGTGGTTAGTGATGGTTTCATTTTGCACAGCTGCTTAAAGCCAGCCGAGTGTTGGGGTACTTTTCTTTCTGTGAGGAATGGGCCCTGGCTCTGACCTTTAAGGGAAGTTGGCTTTCACACCAGCTCCTGGCCCGCGGGCCTTCTGTGGGCTCGCAGTCTCTGGCGGCCAGTGGGTGCTGCCCTGGAGCGTGCCAGAACAGGAGGGGGCTGGGGGCATCTCACGGATGTGGCTTCTGAGACCAGAGGAGAGAAGAGCCCTCGCGCAGAGTCTGTGAGCGGGGTGGGGCCTGGTGTTATTCAGGGGGCTTCCGGGACACTGTGGTGGTGGGAGTCCCCTCGGGGAACCCAGCGGCCTGAGGGGTGACTTAAAAAGTCGGGTCAGGGGGTGGGATTTGAATTAGTCATCTCTGAGGTAGAGGCCCAGCCCTCATGGCGTGGGCTCTGTGAGGGAGTACTGGGGCACCCCAGAACGTCCTGTGTGTCCCTTCCTTGGAGGGAGCTGACACATGGTTAATGAAACAGAAAGCATTTTTGGTGATGTAACCAAAATCCAGGTCTTGGCAGCACTTTAACAACTAGGTAAAACTGCTTGGCCTGATTTTTCCCGCAGAGACCGTGGAAGAATCCTGTCAGGCAGCAGCTCCCACCTGGAGTGATCTTGACCCCAGGAAACATCCAGCAACATATGAGGACATTTTTGGTTCTTAGGACCGAGGGAGGGCACTGTGGGGATCCAGCTGCTGGAGGCTGGGCTGCCGTGAGCCATCCTGCGGTGCACAGGATGGCCTCAAGCAGAATAATGCAGCCTGAATTGTTACCAGTGCGGAGGCTGAGGAACTGCCCGAAGGCTTCGGTTCACGAGAACGAGAACGTCAGGTTGGAAGCAGGCCTACATTGGTTATGTTTCTTTTATTTAAAAGGAAGTAAATAGCTGAGTTTTTAAGTTCCTTTCCCGTGTGCACTGAAGTGCTGCTGGTAGCTTTGAGCTGTGTTTGCTGTGGGGACTCAGCACTGAGGTGCAGATGCTTTTGTTTCCTCTGGGCTCATGTTTGAGCATGACAGTAAAGAGAAAGACATTTTCTGCAAAATAAAAGTAGCTCAGTGAATTCCTGTGCATCGGAGTGAGATGTCCAGCGGGAGGAGTCCCGGCTGAGGGAGGTGCCCGTTGGATTTGCTGGTGGGAGAGCGGTGGGGTTGGCGCAGGTCTCCTCCTCCGCCTCTGTGTCAGCCCACATGCAATGGGAAGGAAGGCTTTGTCTATACTGGTTTTTTGGCTGTGGGCAAAATTATTGAAAACGAAGGCATTTCACTCTTTCATTTACTCTTCCATTTTGCGTCCCAGGTGACTGGCACTTTCCCTGGAACTTCAGATGGGTTCTTGGGTCCAGTCGGGGGGACTAAGGAGAATTATAAATTTGCATGATTAGAATGGCTAACTTGGCAACTCATGATTGCTCCTTTCATTTCGCTACAGAAATAAATTTTTATGCACCTGAGAATTTTGATTACATTATTATTAATATTTTTGGGTGGAGTTTGAGTGTATGTTTGAGGAAGACGCCGGAGTTTTATGAAAGAAATGTGTGAAAAAAGCAGTGTCTCATTTAGAATGTTTCCAGAATGAATTGTAATTCCTTTGCCTCAGGAAGTCTTTTTACTAGATACCTAATTTGTAAAACATCCAGAGGGGTTAATCATAAGACAACACAGCACCAAGCTCAGGATTCAGTAGACTGTTTCTTGTAGAAACAAATGTTTCTAAGTTAAAAACTGGAACACACTAGTGTTCGCCTCATGGCTGAGGGGCTTGAGGTTATTAACATCGTAGTAGAGAGTTTCATCTACTTTTCCAGTGATATCACTTGATCTTGCCACTCGCTAGCGATGCTGTAGCTCACGTAGACGCACAGTGACTGGTGCTGGCGACGCAGAAGTCAGCAGCACGTGTGCATGGCCGGGGTCTGTCTTGACTCGCCCAGTGCTGGAGCCCCTGACTGAGCGGCTGTCTTCCCCGGGTGGGCCTGGGACGCCGGGGGCGCTCTGGGGTACAGTAGAGACTTCTTGAAATGACAGTTCCTCCTCTCTGAAAACAAATCGTGTAATACACAGACATATGCACACAAAATTTTAATAAAAATAAAAAGCCTAAAATATACTCTTAACTCTTCAAACTATGTTTTTATAAAAGATGAGAAGAAGGAGCCGTCTCTGGCTTAGTGCTGACTCGGGACAGAGTCAGTGGCAGACGCGCAGGGGCTTGAGTTCCAGTTTGGGTCAGCTACTAAGATGCTCCGCTGACACGAGGTGAGGTTGGCTTGCCTGGCTTGTGCCGCCTCCGCAGGGAGAAGGCAGAGCGGTTCGGAAGCGGTTCGGCAAGCCAGTGCCGCCTTCTGCTGCTGAAGAGGGAGATGTGGGGAAAACCATGCTAGCCGACAGCCTAGAACAGTCCTGCTCGAGCTGTGGACTGAAGGGGATCTTGAGCTGGGTCGGGTCTGGTCTGCCCCGGTTATCCATCTCCGTGCTGTTCGGGCTCTGTGCGTGCTGGGGGGCCGCGGCATGCTTCTGTGAGGCTCGGGGCTCTTTGGTGCCGTGGCGTGACTTGTCATCGGGGGGGGGGTGGCTTTCTCTGCATAAGGCTGAGGCCTGGGTGACTTGATAGACCAGGGCTTGGCCAAGTGTGGCCATGGGACTTGCCCCCTCGTTTGGTAAGTGCTCTGGTCACGTGTCTGTGGCTGCGGTTGGGCCACCAGCACTGAGCTGAGTAGTTGCCACAGAGACCGGTTGGTCCACAAAACCAAAAATAGTCACTGAGAAGAAGTTGAAGACTGAAAGTATCTAAACTCCCTCTTAGTACGAATGAACATTTTCTCTTTCATAATCTACTGGTCCATGTGATGGGGCGCTAGCCTGCCACGTATCAGCCCAAAGAATTTGCTGGAGGAGAGCAGGGCGGGGCGCCTAGAACTCAGCTTCCCTTTCCGTCTGGCCTCACCCCGGACGCTTCCAGGCACTGCTGTCTCCGCAGTGGAAGCCGGAGAGCAGTTCCTCCTCAGTTTGACTGTTAGGTCTCAGGGGGAAAATTGCCCTCCAACTTTGGAATCTGAGAACTGGTTCCCGGATATTGCAGGAGCCTTGCTGGCTGGCAGCCTTGCTCATCCAGGGCCCAGGCGCACGCCATGGTTGCTCCCCAGCCGCGGCACAGGCTGTCCCCGTAGGAGACAGTAGCCAGGGCTACAGCGCAGACTGTCCCATGCATCGCAGGACTGGGAGGTGATTTGGCCCAGAGGGTCTCCCTGGCGCAGCCCGGAGGGGAGGTGGGCTGGAGCCTGCCCGGCCTGGCCTTCTGTCTTCTAGAGGCTGGAGAAGGGAAGCCGCAGAGGGGACGGATTCGAGCCAGGACCTGGTCTTTCAGGGTGTCCTTTCAATCCAATTTTGGACCCTGCCTTCCTGGGCTTTAGGAGCTCGTGAGAGGTTGATGGAGTGTAACAAGAACGTCCTGAATCCCTTGAAGAGAAAAGAGAATGGGGCATGAGGAGAATGACACCCATTCCTCTTTAAAATGCAGCTTCATGTTTCTCTTAGCCCTCGGTCCCTGCCCCCAGAGGACCCTGTGTTCCTGCCTCTAACATGGCCGTGGACGGGAGGGAGGTGTGCTGAGAGCTCTCCAGCGCCAGGGACGTTCGGGAGCATTGCAGCTGTTAGAGCTGAAAGCTGCAGGCTGCTCCCCTCCATTTGGCCATGCCCTTGGGTCCTTCCTCTGAAGACCTGGGCTGCCCCCTGTTGCTCTGGGTTGAAATGAATTCCGGTTTATTTGCGTTTTCTCCATTGTTTCAAGAATGGGTATTCTAAAAGCTAGTATTTGATGATTTGATAGTTGAGGGTTTCTAATTTGTTTTTATAGAAATGGATTTGCTGAGTTTAAAAGAAAAGGTATTGCTGTTTCAGGTGACTTAGTGTAATGTAAATATTTCAAACCCAGATTATGTTTGTGGGTTCTTAATCCTAGTAGTGAATTGTTTATGAGCTGTGGAGCATGTTTTGGATTTGTGTGTCTTGGGAGCATGAGGTGCGAGGGGAAGTAATGCTTGTGAGGAGATGGGCTGAACGCAGAGGCTTCTGGAAAAGGCTGCCCGGGGATGGCTGGCCAGGCCACGCCCCACGGATCCCAGCCTTGGCCTTCCTGGCTTGGCTGGTGCGGACGTTCTTCCTGTGGTGTCAACCTACACCTGTGAAGCTCTTCTGCTTCGGCTTGTTTGTAAAGGTTCTGAGTAACATTTCTCTTTCATTTTCTCAGCCCCATGAGACAGTGTAGCCTATTCCCGAAGCTGCTTGTTCCCCAGGGTGCCTCACTGTCCTCTCAACACCAGGAACATGGACTTTGAGGCTCATTTATGGAGTGATAGGAGTAAGCTGCCCTAGGCCAGCCGAATTCCTGCTTCGTTCCCGGTGACATCTTGTCGACAAGAAGCTGCACTCAGTGTGAGACTGAGTACGGGTTGTAGATGGATCGCCATGGTTCAACCCAGTATCTCCCTGACTGTAATGAAGACTTTGACAGAGTTTATTGGGGGGGGTGGGGGGAGTAAGGGTTGGATGGTGTTGAGTTGCCAGAAGACTTTGGGAAATGCCAGGTTAAGCAGGAATAGAGTTAGGATTCTAGGATTCCGAATGCTTAGGATTCCTGTGTCCACTGGGAATTCCCCAGTGGGAGAGTCTTCAGGATTTCCCCAAAGTTATGTGATCAAGGCCCTACAGCCCAGTTTTTCTTTCAATAGGTTGCAGTTCTCAGGGTCTGGGAGGCCCTCCCTTGAACCCCTGCACTCCTACATATGGGCATCCTGGGCCCCTCCCAACGTCCTCTCCTCCCCACTCCTCCCCTGCTGCCACCCCTTCCAGCAGCCCTTCTCGGTCCCACCTCCCTGAGTGCTCAGCCCTGCCCTCACCCCCAGCCGTTGCTGCTGACGGGAAAGGGGTTTCTCCGTTTGCTTGAGGTGAGTGGGATTCGTCCTCACCCCCAGACAGCCTCATTTCCACCTGGAGATGCATGTGTACCTGGTTTATGTCTGTTGGGAGCCTTAGGTATTTTTTTCTCTCCCATTTTAACCCCCTCAGGGAATTCTGAAACTCCGGGCCTGGGACTTTGTAATAAAGAGGGCGCAGCTGAGCTCCCCAAGTAGACAGCAGCTCTCCCAGGGGCCACATGCTGGCACAGCCGCTCTGGCTTTCCTGCAGCTCTGCCAGCCATGGTGGGGAACGTACCTGTTCCCTAAGATTTCTTCAGTGTTGGACTGTTACTGTGCTTCCTGAAATAGAGAAAGGTGGTTTATGAAAAAGAAGGTGTACCTGGAACCCAGGCTGCCTGCTGGCGTCCTGTCTTTGCCTCATACGTATTCCATTTTGGGGAGCACCGTCAGTGAGACAGTGATGCAGAGATTAGCATTTTAGTCTGTGTACACCCCCTTGGCTGGCTGTGAGTCATGGGGAGGGAAGCAGGGTGTAGAAGAAGGAGAGTGGAGGAGACAGGTACAGTGCTTGGTCAGGCAGGTGTTGAACTGCATTCCCTGACACTCAGTAATGCAAGCCCTAGGGGGTGTGGCCACTGATGGGTCTGCAGAGTGGCTGGGGTGAGGGCTCTGCTGTTGGGAAGGCACCTAACGCATTCATGCAGCACATTATGTAATTCCTGTGACTCTCTTGAGCCCTTTGGAGAAAGAACCTGGCTGTGAGTGAATAAAAAGTAGAGATTTACTATATTTATAGTTACATACTTGCGTCTGTCAGTAATGTTCCATGCTTCCCAATTCTAGTACCGGAGTGATCCCCAGCACCCACCGTGTGATCTCCCCCAGCACCCACCGTGTGACCCCCCCAGCACCCGCCATGTGATCTCCCCCCAGCACCCACCGTGTGATCCCCTCCCAGCACCCACCATGTGATCCCCTCCCAGCACTCACTGTGTGAACCCCCCAGCACCCACCATGTGACCCCCCAGCACCCACTATGTGACCTCCCCCCAGCACCCACCATGTGATCTCCCCCCAGGACCCACTGTGTGATCTCTCCCCAGCACCCACCGTGTGATCTCCCCCAGCACCCACCGTGTGACCCCCCAGCACCCACAGTGTGTGATCTGCCCCCAGCACCCACCATGTGATTGCTTCCCAGCTCCCACTGTGTGATCTCCCTCAGCACCCACCATGCCCAGCTATACTGATCTATACGTGTTCATATCTACACGTATGTGCACACAGTTTCTGAGTGGAGCCCTGTTGTGCGGGGCTACATGTTTAGACAAGACAGCCTGGCTTGGCCCACAGGACTGTGGCACCCCCCAGTGTTCAGTCCCCGGGGCCACGCTTGCCCCGTTACCCTGTGAACTACAGGCGGGACACAGTGCGGGCCTCCTCCCTGAGATGGCACCTGTTTGGGGTGTTCTTGATGCTTGTGCTTTCACAGCTCTCTTTGAAGCAGATGTCCTGGTGCACTCTGTAGACTCTCTTGTACCTGTGTCGCAAGAAAGTGGTGTAAAGCCAGAACCTAGAGCAGAATGTTGCCCAGCTGCTTCGGCTAGGCTGCGCTCGCCCACAGGTCACTGTGCGGGTGTTTGAGGGAAAGACCACTGTTTTCTTAATAAAACTTTACCTCATAGGGACGTGTTAAAACGTCCAACATAAAAGTCCTATAATTAAAAAAAAAATAACTTCACTAAGGTATGGTTTACATAAGATACATCCATTCTAAGTGTACATTTTGAGGAGTGTGGACAAAATATTGTGATATTAAGAGAGAGAATAAGAAATTCCAAGGACGTGTTCTGCTTGAGGCAGTCCATTCGGTGCTGGACTTGAGTCAGTACCAGCCCACTCCTGGGTCCTGTGGGTAGTTCTTGGAGAAGTTTGAGAGCCCTGGAGATGCAGGTGTTCAACGTGGGCAGTGTCGACTTCTAGTCCTGCCTCCCATTTATTAACTAGTCCACTTTGAGCATGTCTCTGGAGCTTAGACCTCAGTTTTGTGTGCAATGGTAGTTACTCATACTACCTCTCTCACAAATTTGTAGATGGTAATGGAATAGGAAAGTGTTTTTGTTCTTGTTAAAGCTCTCAAATGTCAGAGCTGTTGAAAAGAGAGATCCAGGAAGTTTGATGGGCAAAGCTCCAACTCATCCTCAGTGTGGGAGAGCCCTTGGGATTTAAGGCCTTTGGTGAGACTTCCACTTTTGGCCATCAGGGAGTAACAGGATCTGGAATTAACCCCCAATATGAACAACCAGAGAATTGGACAAAATATGAAAAGCAGTTCTTTTCAGATGTTAGAAAGCAGTGCAAGACTGTGATTCTTGAGAGAAAGGAAACATGAAATGAGCTCTGTGATCTCCCTAGAATTCGGTCCAGGAGCACTTTTTGGATTACATTGCAGGGTGGTGGTGGGCGGAGGGGGTGGGGTAGAAGCCAAGCTGGGGTCACACTGCATGGAGGAGGCAGAGGCAGCTGGAGTCTGTGGGGCACTGGAGAGGAGGGAGCTATGTCCTGAGGCCGGGACAGGGATTCCCCTGAAGATGAAGCTGTGCGCGCATAGGTAGAACCCTGTGAGGCTGGGCAAGGAGAACTACCGAGATGCTGAACAGCAGAGCTGCTGCAGTCCATTCGTAAGACAGAAACTCCAGGAAGGCCATGGCTTAGAAGTGGGGCAAAATTAACCCAGAATAAAGGTTAAACCACCCTAAAAGAGGCTTCCAAAGGATCAGACTAAAATTAACCGCCTTGTAGACAAAACTAAATATTCTGGGAAATACAAAATTTAGCATTCAGGACCCAAAGGTTAAAATGTCCAGCATCCAACAAAAAAATGACAAGATATTCAAAGGCTCATACAAAGCATCAAGAAAATGTGACCCATAAGCAGCAAACAATAATTGAATAGAAAGACACCCAGAGGTGAGAGCAATGGCGGGAACAGCAGACAAGACCCTTAAAACATGTGCTACAAATTTGCTCCCACCTGTTCAGTGATGAGAAGAGAAACAGAGGATCCAAGAAAGGACTAGGTGGGATTTCTAGAGCTGAGAGGAACCAGAGTGTGAAGTGAAGGTCTCGCTGAATGGGATGAGTGGCAGGTTCTAACGACAGTGCCGAGGACAGACCATGGAACGCAGAGGCCCAGCGAAGTAGAGAGAAGGACGGCGTCAGTCTGACACCTGTGTGACGGGAGTCGTAGGAGAGGAGAGAAACAGACGGACGGGAAAAATACCTGAAGAACTAATGGCCCCAATTTTCCAGGTTTGGTGAAAGCCAAGACCCCAGAGATAGAAGCTTAGCAAGCTCTTGTGAGCAGACACACACACACATGGCCACGGCACAGCACACCACAATTAGTTTCCCAATAACGGTAGTAAAGAGGGGATGGAAGGGCAGTCACGGGGCCAGGCGCACACTCGTGGGTGAGAATGAGCACAGCCCTGCCAAGTCAGAAGACCGGAAATGGCCGCTCTCGAGCGCCGAGGGGAAAAACACAGTTGTCAGGCAGGAATTCTATATTCAGCAAACAGATCCTCCAAAAATGAAGGTGAAATAGAACCCTTTACAGACAGACCAAAGCAGAGAGGATTCATCACCGGCAGATCTGTACTACACGAAATGTTACAGTGAGTTCTGGGGGCAAAGGCCAGTGGTACCCGAGGGCATCTCAGGTCTCTAAAGGAATCCAGGTACTGGGAATGGCAAACACAGGAGGAAGAACAAAAGACGTTCTACTCTCAGCAGTTTTTACAAGGATAGTTGTCTTTGGGGTCAAACATACCATACTGTGTGGGTCACGGACTACGTGCAAGCAGCGCGTCCAGCTTGGAGAGCTGGGAGCGTGAGGGGAAATGGAGCCTGCTGCTGCAGGGACCCTTCTGGGACACTGAGGTGGGAGAGCACAGCCAGCGGATATGGGGGTGTTGCAGGGGCATATTGCAACCCACAGCAGCCACTAGAGGGTTAGACCAGACAGGTATAACCAGTGAACCAACAGTGCTGGCAAGTTAGAAGCCTAATTAATCCCAAAGTAGGCAGGAAAAGAGAAAAAAAGGAAAAATGATCAGATGGGACACATAGAAAGCACACAGCAACATGGTGCATTTAAACCCAATCACATCGGTCATTACAGTAACATGTAAATGATACAGACACTCCAGTAAAAACCGGAGATGTCAGATGTAAAGCCGAATACAAGAACCTGACGTTCAGACGCATATGGGTTAGAGTGAAAAGTATGGGAAGCTGTTGACAGGTCCGGGGCTCTTGTCTTCAGGTACTTGGTGGTCCTAGCAGGTCACTAGCAGGTACTGGGGTCACTGGTACAGTTGGAACAAGGGGGCGGGGCACTGTGGATTAGGGCTGCCATTCCACAGACCCCAAAATCAGATGGTCTGTACACATGGATCCTCAGGGCCCAGTGCAGATCAGGATGCCCTGAGTTTTCCTGCTCTGGGGTAAGTCTGGCTTCATGTCCAAGTTCAGATCAAGCCTTCTGCCTGGCTTTCCTGCATCCCACCCAGAGTGACCTTCAGACACGTAATCGAACAGCTCACTCCTCGGCTTGGCATCCTCAGCAGCTCCCCATTTCAAAAGAACACATGCCAGAGTCCTTCCAAGGGCCTCCAAAGCCCTGCTGGATTCCCCCTGCCCTGCCTGACCACCGCCCCCCCCTTTCTCCCCTCCAGCCCCAACCTGCTCCTCAGACAAGCAGACATGCTTCTGATTTCGGGCCTTGGCAACTGATAATTTGACTTTCTGGGATGTTCTTCCCTCAGATATCCCTCACCCCCTCCATGTCTGTTCAATGTCATGTTTCCGTGGGGCTTCCCCTGACACCCTGTTTAATGCTGCAGCCGGCCCCTGCCTGTCCCCAACCCTGGCTGTCCTGGGCCCACCTATTCATCTCTTCCTTTTCCCCAGCCCTGACCGCCTTCTAGAACACTACATAACATCCTCCTGCTCCTTGTGTACGGCCTCCCTCGTCTGGAATGTGCGGATCGCGAGGGCAGGGCTTTGGCCGGTTCTGTTCACTGGCGTTTGCTGAGTGTCCAGAGCTGTGCCTGGCACAGTAGATGCCTGTGAGAATTTGTTGACTGAATAGATTGTACGTGTGAACCACAGAGTCACAGAGTGTTAGCAAGAAAGGTCCTATGAGGTGAGCCAGGCAAGCTCTCCCTCTACAGCCCATTTTACAGATGGGGAAACTGAGGCACGAATGTCATGACTTCACGGCAGGGTGGAGACTTGAGTTCCCCCGTGCTGCTGTTGATCTTTCCAGGGGGCTCTGAGGCAGAGAGGACAGGAACGTCATTTCCTGGCATCGATGTTCCCATGGCCTTGCCCTCCAGTGGCGAGGGACTGATGCCACTCGTGGGAAAGGCAGGCCCCAGGGCTCAGGAGCCGGAGGCTGGCGTTCCCTGCACAAGCTCAGTGCCTCAGCTTCCGGATTCGCCACGTGGAGGGAATGGGTGCAAGCCCCTGTGCGACCCTGACCCCTAGAGCTCCTCAGGGCTTATGAGGGTGGGTGAGCTGGACTTTGTGAAGGCACTTCTGGAAGTCAGGAACTTTCCACAAATGTGAAAGCAGGAAAGAAACTTACATATGGTGACAGGCGCCTCCTTCCCAGACCGGCACGGCCTTTGTCTCTGAGAAGAGCCGAGTGCAGGGCTGGGGCACCTTTTTACAGGCTGCCGGCACAAAGGAAAAGGGGCTTACAGGGGCGCCATGCTGAGGAAGCGCTCTTCCTGCACCCTGGGAGGGCGCCCTTCCTGCAACCTCGGGGGCTGCTTGAGTCCCGGAAGCCCCCAGTCTGCTTTCCCTTAGGGCTGGCGGGAGTCTCTGACAGGCCTCGGGATGGTGCAGCTGGGGTGGGGGCTCCTGTCCACCCACCTCCCATCTTCAGTCCCACATTCTTCTTAGGGAGGGAGGCCTGTGGCTCTTTTCCCTCTTACCACCACGTCTGGCCCCTAAACCAAAGAGTCCCCTGCACCCACCTCTGGCTATGGGGCGCTCCATGTCCTTTGCTTTCTGGCTGCCCCCAGAACCCCCCCCCCACTTGTCTGGGCAGCACCGTTCACCCTGGCGCTTTGGGGCAGTGAGAGGCTGAGTGGCTCCCTGCCTCTCAGTATACCTACGTGGGCACTCGGAAGTCTGGGGCACTGAGGCTGGGTCCCTGTCCTGGCACCTCGAGGTTTGAGGTCCTTGTGGCAAACCCACCTTGGGCCCAGTGGGCCCAGAATAGCCTGCTGTGACAAGTGTCTTGAAGCATGGGCCCTGATGGTCCCTACGGGAGGGAGTGGTCCCCGACTTACCGAGCTCACAGCGTCTGCCTTTGAATCCCGGGTTGCAGTCACAGCTGTGGGTGTCCACACCTGGCACGCAGGTGCCTCCGTTCTGACAGGGGTTTTCTGAACAGTTCCCAGGGGTGTCTGCGGACAGGCCATGAACAATTAGTTGCCAGGACCCCAGAAGAAGGCCTGTCAACATTCCCATTTCTCTGTGCCCCTCTTTCTCTTGTTAAAAAATTTCAAAGCAGTTCACAGAAACCATTTCACCTTTAAATACAGCAAGTGTCTCATACGTACGGACTTTACAAACTTTTATATAAGCACAACGCTATTATTGGGAAATCAGCAGTGGCTCCTTAGTACCCTAAGAATTTGCAATCCTGTTTCGGGTTGCCCCATTCATCTTAAAACCTCATTTCCAGCTGGTCTGATCTCATTAGGATTCATAAGGACACACTGCCGTCGTTCGATGTGTCTCTCTTTTAATCTGTAACTTTTTATCTTCCTTCCCTCTGCGTTTATTTTTCCCCCCCTCTGCATTTATTAGAGAAACCAGGTCATTTGTCCTGTAGAATGCCCCTCCTGGATTTTACTTTATGCTTTCTTGTAGCATTAACTCATCCCCCATCGCCACATTTCCTGTAAACCGATAATCAGAGAGGAGCTTGATAGGATTCAGGTTCAAGCGGTCTTTGCAGGACTGCTTCACCCTTCACCCACTCCAGGAGGCGTGACAGGTCTCTAGTTCCAGCTTTAGTGATGTGAGGACTGATCACGGGTTCAGCATTGGCAGCCTGATTAATCCAGGAGAAAATTCTGATAGGCTCTGCACCAGACAGCTTGAGTGGCCATGGAGGTCTTGAGTCTAGGTCGCAGATCCATCATCTCACGAGGGCTGCATCTAACCCAGCCTGTCACTCTTCTGTCTCTCTAGCCAGAAAGTCTTCTATGAAGACCTGTTTTCCCTTGCCCACCACCTGGTCACCCTGAATTATAGTCCATCCAGGCAAGGCCAGACAAATGCTTCATTCCTGTCCTTGATTTGTACACTTGCAAAGTAAGCATTGGTCCCCAGCCAGCTCTAGGGACCAGCACACTGTGCTCTCTTTCAGCGTCATCATGAACTCATAGATTCTTATGTATTTGAAGAGGGTCAGTCTGCTGCTGCCATTAGTCTTTTTTTTGATGCCCCAATTATCCATCTTCAGCCTGTGGGAGCCTTCCAGGTTGACTCCTGTGCCCTTTAGACACAATCCCAGTTGTTTTTGAAAAGTTTACTTGTTTTACAAGTACATCCTGGGCATATTTTGTCCGTATTCTTCTTCAGGCTTGGAATCAGCCACTTCTCAAAGACCTCTGGTTCCTTTTATTGGGCACCTAGAGCCCACAGTCTGGGTGGCCAAGGTGTTCACTGCTCCTGGGGTGTCAGTGCTTGAGGCCTTTTCAGTAGACAGAACTAGGAACTTAGATTTAAAAATAAAAATAAACAAATTGTGGGCTTATATCAATAGTTAAGGGAGGGGCGCCTGGGTGGCTGAGTCGGTAGGGTGGCTGCCTTCAGCTCGGGTCGTGATCCCAGGGTCCTGGGATCGAGCCCTGTGTCGGGCTCCCTGCTCGGCGAGGGCCTGCTTCTCCCTCTCCCTCTTCCTGCCGCTCTGCCTACTTGTGCTCTCTCTCT